CATAGACACCTTTTAAAGTGTTAACAACTAATTGTGAATTAGTTTCAATTTCAACTTCCTTGAAACTTAAATCAATCTCACGAGATTTAATAGTTTCCTCTTCAAATCTTAATATTTGAATAAAATTAATACATAAATATTTGTATTTGAACTATGGGCCAATGGTACTTCTCCAACCAATGGACCGATTTATTTCCCATTTTTCCCCTATAATTTTGCATTGCTCAAAAAAAAAAAAAAAAAAAAGAAGAAAACTTTCTTGAAACCGATTCTGAGAGCAATTTTCAATCTTTTTTTGATGCCGCAGTATTTGAATTCATTGTTAGAGCTAAGACCAAGGTTTCTAGCAAATTGAGTCAAGTTCAGATCATGTCAACTTTCATTGAATTAAATCTAATTAATTTTTTTAAATTTAAAATTTTAATTAACTATAATTTTAATTTTAATTGTTAAATATGAAATAAAATTAAATAAAATTAAATAATTATTTTCTATTATTTATTACAATAAATTATTAAAATTAATAGCATTAATTTGACAAAATTTTTATTAAATAAATAATTAATATTAAAATTTTAAAAAAAATTATTAATTTTAATTTAGTTTTAATTTTTAAAAAAGTTGACCTCATCCAACCGTTTCAGAAATCCATGTGAGAAGGCAATGGATTAACTTTCTAAAACCTAAAATTCATGGTGATCCAATTTGATAAAAGCCTTAATCTAAACCCAACCCTGACTTGTTCGCCGGGTCAATGAGTGGATTAATCAAGAATTCAAGATGGAGGCGGTGGTAACAACTAACAACAGCGCCGGGAAAAAGATGCATCAGGGATGATGCTATGGCACATTCAAGAAGGGGCCCCAGTACCTTCAATCGGTCAATAATCACATCTTTATCCCGATGCCCGTCCATGTCACGTCTTCATCGGAAAAACTTCAAAAATGCTGTATGCACACTGTATTTTTACCACTACAATGTCTCTCTTTGTCTCTCTCTCTTTTTTAATCATCCAAGTACAACTACTACATCCTTAAACAATAGTGGATGCTACAGTAA